ATGATATATATATATATATATATATATATATATATATATATATATATATATATATATATATATAGAGAGAGAGAGAGAGAGAGAGAGAGAGAGAGAGAGAGAGAGAGAGAGAGAGAGGGATGGATGGATGGATGGATAGATGGATAGATGGATAGATGGATAGATAGATAAGACCCAACACATTATTAAGGCACTACATGTTAAGTTTTGTTTTCCAATATTTTGTTCTGTGACCAGAACAGTTTGGAGTCAAGTGTTAAAATTATTCAAATTATTTAGCAAACGTCTAGGTTTATAGTTAGAATTTTGCAACACATTCTGAGTGGTGGACTGGACCCACTCACCCAGGGTTGGCCCAGGCAAGGTTGATCGGGTCACGCTGTGCCACTTGCCCAGCTGGATTTGTTGAAGGACTGAGCTCAGGATAAAGAACCCAGTTTGGTTGTCAGGTCAAGCAGACTGGTAGGTTGTCACGATGATGGTACTCCTTATGAAACGCATGAGAGCCAGTGAAGTATTTGAGATTCAGAAACTGAAAAATGCTGATATGTTGATCTTTACTGCTGACTAGTGGATGAAATTTAAAAGTGCTGCTTCACATTGTTTGGATAGCCTGTCATGTATTTTTTTAATTTCATTTTTTTATATATATAAATATATCAAATACGATTTTTTTTTTTTAAGACAAACCGCTGCGGTTTAGATCAGTGTTCATCAAGACACATTACTGTGTGGATCTTGATATTTAAAGTGTGATCAACACAAAAAGCTTTTGTTAATTGAGTGAATTAAGTTTTTAAATCCATCCATTATCTTCCACTTGTTTTGAAGTTGGGTTGCGGGGGCAGTAGCTTGAGCAGGGACGTCCAGACATCTTGTTCCACAGCCACCTCTTCCAGCTCTTTTGGGAGGACTCCAAAGTGTTCCCAGGCCAACCAAGAGATGCAGTCTCTCCAGTGTGTCCTGAGTCTTCCCCGAGGTCTTCTCCCAGTCAAACATGCCTGAAGCACCCTGGAAGCATCCTTACCAGATGCCCGAACCACCTCAACTGGCTCCTCTCCAAGTGGAGGAGCAGCAGTTCTACTCCAAGCCTCTCCCGAATGACTGAACGTTTTTAAGAGAGAGTCCAGTCCTGCGGAGGAAACTCATTTCAACCACCTGTACCCGCAGTCTCATTCTTTTGGTCACTACTCAGAGTTTGTGACAAAAGGTGAGAGTAGGAATGTAGACTGACTGGTAAACGGACAGCTTCACCTTACAGCTCAGCTCCCTCTTCACCACAACGGACCGGCACAGAGTCCGCAATACTGCAGACACTGCACCAATCCGTCTGTCAATCTCTTAAATGCAGGAGATTATTTTTTTCACTCCATCTTTCCATTATAGACATAACTCAAAAGGTTCACAAAATTATTCTTGCATGGCTTCATTCACTCGGCGTAACGTCAGAACATCAGCTGCATTCTTTTCATGTAACACACACATATCTCAGCTGTTTGTTCATGGATGTGACTTGCTATGCCTTTCCAGATCTGATTCTGCTCTGTAATGTGTGTGTGTTTCTCAGTGCAGGCTGCAGACGAGGTAGAAAATGTGAAAGAGCCTGTTCATCCTGCTGGACAGACCGCACGTCTTTCTGTTTCCACCCCCTGTTGTCTCAACAGCCCTTGTGTTTATTTTGCCTGCATACTTTAAAACAAAACATCACAGTTGCTGCTCCACCCTACAGGAAAATAAATGCAAGAATCTCCTGCCTTCCAACCTTAAACTGTGTATAAAATGTATTTCCTTTGTAACATCTTTATTCAGGTGTTCTGGTTGAGGACAATTGGCACGGATGATGAGAAGCCTAACTTTTTGCTACCTGTGGCTGAAACTCCTGACTGTGTAAAAGATCAGGTTCTTCCAGATGTCGTCTTTGGCACAGGTGACAAAACCCACCAGTCTGAAAAAAAATGAAGGGAAATTCATGGAAAAGTTTCTAAATGAGAAGAAATGAGTTAAACAAAACAACAAAAAAATAGCTCTAAAATGCATTTCTTGTGTTTGACTCCCATAAAAACACAAATGTGGACAATCAAATCAAAACTATAGCAGAAAAAAATGACGTACATGCTAGAAAAGAAACGGAAACAAAACTTTGTTCTTGTTATAATCTTCAGCATACATGCTCTACTTTTGTCTTCTTGGGCCAGTAGTAGTTATTAGTAGTTATTTAGCCTTTTACTTTTGCCACATTTAGCTTTTAATTTTTTTCTGATTTTAGCTAGTGTATGGCTACATGTAGATTTGCCAGCCTTTGTCTACTTTCAGATAGTGTTTTATTATTTATTTTAGTATTATTTTAGAATTGTTCTGGCACTTCTACTTTCTAACATTTTGTCAAGTTTAGATAGCTGTTTGCAATGTTTAACTAGTCTTTTGTTGCTTTTAGCTAACCTTTTGTTAATTTTAGCATTGACCTATTATTTTGCTGCTTTTAGCATTTTTAACATTTTTGCTACATTTAGCTATTCTACTTCTTTAAGCTAGCATTTACCACATTTAACTTTTAGCAAGCTTTTTGCTACTTTTAGCTTAAACTTTTAGATTTTAACTATTGTTCTGCTACATTTTAGTTTTTTTTTTTTTTTTTTTTTTGCTGTTTTTAGCTTCTAATGATTTTGTTACTTTTAATGAAAGCTGTGCTACTTTTAGCTAGCCTTTTGTTACTTTTAGCTTTTAATTATTATTTTGTCACTTTAGCTATTGTTTTGCTTCTATTAGCTGGACTTTTTATTTTAGCTTTAAGCTAGCCTTTTGCCACTTTCAACTATCTGTTTTGCAATTTTTTAGCTCACCTTTTGCTACATTTTAGCCTGTTGTTACTTTAGGTTTTAAGCTTTATTTTTCTGATCCTGCTTCTTTTAGTTAGCCTTTTGCTAAAATTAGCTTTTAGCTAGCATTCTGCTCCTATTTGCATTAGCTACTCTCAGCTTTTTAGCTAACTTCACCAGTCTCTCAGGAAGTGCAGTTTTTCTCGTTTTTTAATTTTTTATTTATTTAAAGACTTTCATTGTTGACTTGTCCAGACACAATACGAGCTAATCTGTTTCATGAATGAACAAGGTAAACACCGTCCTGTTGTTGTGCATTTTAACGTGGCACAGCATCAATCCCACCTACCTCTGATTTCAGAATGAGTTTTAATTTCCCGGTTTGTGTCATCGATGCCTGCCCGTATGTTTTAAACCCGGATTAGACCCGGGATTAATCCAAAACATAATCCTGATGATGCAACGGGGACATTGACTGGATGGACATGAGAAAACGGAACAAACGTACAGTATTAAAAAAGCAACGTAGGGAGAAAACTACCTGCCTGTAAGAGGACGTGGAGGACATGACGATGATGAACGTTACCGCCCACCTTCTGGGGGAGGATCCTAACGCATGACGTCACACCAACGGTCACCTCCTTCTTTCCTCCTTCTGCGGCGGCACATCAGCAGTAATGAGGCTCGGCGATGTCCTTGTGTCTCTCACACTCGGATAGGACGACGGACCCGGACGCCCTCACCTCATTTGGACCTTTTTGTTGTGGTTGTTGTTAAAAAGGAGGAAGGTAACTCCCTTCTGAACGCGCCGCAGTGAAGCTGAGAGGATGAACAGCATTCACACTCGAGTGAAAAGCAAGCGGACGGAGGCTCACCTCGGAGCCGAGAGGGATCATTTTGACAAGCAGCAGGTAAATGTGAGAGTGGACTGACTGTGGGGTGGAAACTGGGCCTGTCTGGTGCTTTACTGCATAGCACATTACTATGACCAAATAACGTCAATGTTAAGTGGTTAATGAACACTTAAAGGTCATAAAATTAAATTTACCTTATAGCAAAATGATTAAATCCTGTTTTTTTTGTGGTTTTTTTCTGGCATTGCTACAGCTTTAATTGGAATTTAGGTTAAATGCCTTTCAGTGTAAAACTGCAGTTTAAAGCAGTATGTTTTCATTATTTTTGACATGAGTGAATTTCAGCTCCAGCTCTATTACGCCATTCATTCCTTCCTGTCAGGTCCTTCCTGTTTGTCCACCTGTCCTCCATTACTCCCATTTAAAACCCTCCTACTCGATGGTTTACCTGGGGAGGGCTTGTCTTGCCATCAGTTTCTCAGACAGCAGGTGTGTTTGTGGTTTGATTGGTTACTTCACTCCAAAAAGCTTGTATGCTTTAAAGAGTTAAATTAGGTTTTATTTACATTCTTGAGCCAGTGAGTCATACTGGGACCCACAGGAAAGCACACATCCCAGTGAGAACTGAGAAACACGAGGTTCACACCAGGTTGAGTAAATAAAACAAATTGCTGAGGAGCTGCCTGCCGGTTGTTATCTGAAATGGGCTGAGCTCTCTTTTTGCTGAAAAGAGAGTTGTAAAGGACATGAGCAATTTCACAAGAGGTGATGGCTAAAATTGGCTGAGTTATAGACAGTTTTGTATTTTTTATGGTCTATTGCATGCAGCAGCCATCTTGAATTGAGTTGACTCTAAAAAAAAGTTAGTTTCAAATTTTAAAAGACAGGTTTACTCAGTCAGTACTTGGATTATGTGTTGGGGATGACTCACAGCTACTACCACATTAAATCTAGCTCAACATCTGTAGAATTGGCAGAGTTGATGAGAATTTTGTGTTGGACAAGATTGTATAGCTGTGGCGGCCATCTTGCATTAGACTAAGCCCAATCATCAAGTCTATTGTGGAGGTACATCTACTGATTACTTTGAGAAATTCATTAAAATCCATCTGTTTTTTGTAGCTAATCCACACACACTGGCACAAACGTAATCGCTTCTCACCTACAATTAAAAAGAAAACGATGTTCACAACAATAGAAATGTAATGCATTTACCTGTTTAAATAAAGGTTGAATGAATTTAAGAGTAGAGGAGACTATTTGCAAAGCTCTTTGACAGGTTTTTAGTCAAAACAAAACTTATCCTACGCAGCAAAAAGCCTGTTGTGCAATCCTAAAATGGCAGCAGCAGCAGTAGTGAAGCAGATTAAAACCTGTTGGTGGAAGAGGAAAGTTTTTGGTCACTTTATCAGACTGCAGGAATCTTGGCTGGCTGAGATCATTTGTCTCGATGACCTGTTCCCTTTTAAGATAAAGAGCATGACGTCAGTGAAATTACACTTTTTCAGTGTCGGATTTCACCGCAAGACTAAATGTATGTCATGAGGCAGATATCAAACTGACTCTGCTTTCGTATTTGGTATTGAAACTAGACGCCAAATGTTTTGGTTGCGAGTCAAATTTAAAAACAAAAGTCGTGATTTTATGAAATTTACATAACAACAAAAGTGGCCATCAAATATGCTGGTAACTCAAATCTAAAACTTAGTGTAAGCGAACACAAGAAAGAATATCTCTATACATGTACATGACTGTTAAAAAATAAAACGCCTAGCCACTGCATTGTTCTGTGGATTCATGTTTTAACACCTTTTAGCTGAACTGTCATCTTGAGATCAAATACAGGTTGGTGATGTTAATGTGAAATTGGAAAAGATTAAAAAATATTTTAATCTAGTTTTCAGTAGGTTTTATTAAGTTTCTTAGTATCAAAATGAGTTGATTTGGTAATTATCATAATTACTTAAAGGCCAAGACTTATTAACTTTGTTTTGTTGAAAAAAAAAAAATCATATTGGCTGTTTTTATTATTTTGGGAGTAAACACCTTAGATCAGTTATTGCATTTAGAGAGTTTTCACATTAGCTTTACATTGCAGCCACATCATGCATTTAGACTTCTTCTTTCAGCTGTTCCCTCTCCAGGGGTCGCCATGGCGAGTCTTCCTCCTCCATTTCACTCGGTCCTCTGCATCCTCTGTCCTCACTCCAACTACCTCCATGTCCTCTTTAACTGCATCCATATCTCTCCTCTTTGTCTTTTTCCTGGCAGCTGCATTTCTAACATCCTTCTACCAATATACCCACTGTCCCTCCTTTAGACACGTCCATACCATCTCAGTCTGGCCTCTAAACTTCATCTCCCAGTTGTTCAACCTGTGCTGTACTTCTGATGATCTCATTCCTAATCTTCTCCATCTGTGTGTCACTCCTAAGGAGAACTTCAACATCTTCATTTCTGCCACTGCCAGTTCATTCTCCTGTCTTTTTGTCAATGCCACTGTCTCCAGACCATCATAGCTGGTCTCACAATTGTCTGGTAAACTTCCTTTGACTTTTGCTGACATTCCACATGACTGATGTGGTTGAGCCCTGTTCACTTTTGGTTTAGCAGCTAAACATCTAGCACAAGTTTCTTGTTGCTCCACTCAGCCTGAAGCAGATCAAAAGCTCAGATTCTTTAGGATCGTACAAACATGAGAGGAAGTTTAAATTTTGTGGTTCCTGTATTCCTCTAAAGGCCACACAATAAAGCTTTTTCACACACCATGTTCAAGACAGGATTGATGCACCTTTTGTTGAAATTCTGCACTTCTTCTTAAATCATGGCATCAGGGGAGCCTCCAGAAATATTTCAAAGGGGCAGTCAGATGGAGGCCAATGTTGGTCTTGGAGTGGCACATTTTAACCAAATGGCAGAACATAATTTCAGGACGTTTATACATATACATTACCACCCCCACCCCTTCTTGGTGACACCCCTGTGCAGAGATGAAGCAGGGGAGCTGAGGATGCTACATTTTTAATGATCTCAGTGAAAATGGTTACAGAGCAGATACATTGAGGAAGACCGCTTTAATCAAGGTGTCTCTCAGCTGATTCTGGGACATTGTGAGCAATGCACTGAAACAACCCTGAGCTGCCTCTCTTCATGAATCACCTGTGTGGAACAACGTTCATTTGTCACCTTTATGATGTGACCCCAGTTTTTATGGGTAGCTTATTATTAAAATGGTAAAAAGGTTTGCCATTTAACTTAGTCTTAATTAGTTAATGAAAAGCAGCAAAACTTAGTTGTTTTTTGACATATTGCATTTACAATTAAATCATAGTTGTTTGGGTGAGTGGTGGCACATAGGTTAGAGAAAGGGAGCCTGCGGTAGGAAGGTTGCCAGTTTGACAACCCCCCCGTACTGACAACATAAAAAATGTGGGTGAGAAAGGTGAAATGCCCACACCCGCCTCCACCCTCATTTGCCCCACTCTGAGCCCATGAGCAAGGCTCTTAACCACCACCATCTGCTCCCCCGTGCACCCTATGGCAGCTCTCTGCTCCTCACAGAGGGCTGTGGTAGCTCGGTGGTCTGTTGTTGCATCAGGAGGGGCATCCAGTGTAAAAATCATTGTCTCCATGCGAGTTAGTTCTCTGTGGCGGCCCCTGAAGAAGGGAGCAGGTGAAAGAAAAATAAATAAATATTAAATCATTTATATTTGTTTTTAAAAAGTCCTAAATAATTGTTCTTTGTCTACCACTATAGTTTGTCTTGTTTCTAATTAGCAAGTAGCAACCAGTAGATGGTTTTCCTTTTCTTAAAACAAACAAACAAAAAAACACATTTATCCAAAAGTACTTTAAAAAGCTGTTTTGTCTAATGTTGCTGAAATTCACAGCATATTCAGAAAATGGTAGGCTGAACTATTTTTGGGCCGTTATTGTTTAAATGAAGCTGCAGATCCGTCACTGCTGCTGTCTTGAATGCAATCCCTGGACAACATTCAACAATGAAGCTGACAATGAATCAGCCATCCTGATTTAGGAATCGAATGACTCTCAACAAGGTCCAACATTCCCACTGGTGCACTGTACAAAATTAGACAGATTTAATTGTACGTTGTTAAACTAAAGTGCTTGTTACATTGGGGTGCTGTACTGTTTGTTTCTTATTATAGAGTATTATTGCACTGATTCTTCTGCTTACTTGACTGAAACTCCTCTGCTGCTCGTTACACTCGTTCCTGATGGATCTGCTTTTTATGTTGGCCTCAACATCAAGGTGAAATCTGTCTCACAGAGTCCTGTGTGTTTGTACTGTAGTGTTTGGTTTATTCTGCTCTTGTTGCCTGAGTGAGCGCCCATCAGGGAGGCCATGATAAACATGGACTCTGAGTGGAAGCAGTGGTTAATGAAATGCACAAGTTTTTTTTTGTTTTTTTTTTCCCTTTGTAGGATTTTACATCAGTTCTCATAAACAAATTAGATTAATTTTAAATTGGTTTAACAGCTATAGCTATTTGTGCCTTTGCAAAAAATGTGCCCATGTGACTTCATAACATTCATGAATGTGATTTTTTTGTTTTTTTTGTTTTATTATTATA